AGTAACCTGAGAGACGGAGCTCTGAGGCTATTATAAAATTCCAGTCAGTAAGTTTGGCTATTTTCTCTATCCTCCATGAATATTTAAAAATGGGATAGATATTTCTTATCCATAAATTTAACTCAACAAACATTTAACCCACAAACATAATGTAAATGATTCCTGTCATTATTATTATTATCATCAACTAAGGCGGATAAGAGTGCGCCTTTCCCACCTAATCCAGCTCCATGCTGAAGCCCTTTCCCCCGACACTTCACACTCACACACACGCATCCACATATCCTGCTCAAGGAGAAATGCTGGACTCCTCCTGAGACAGGAGGGAAGGCTTTACAAGGGAAAGAGAGTACATAGTCTTCATTGTGTCTAATATAAATGAACGATGCTTTTTTAGTATTATAAAGTGGAACGGGAAATCACACAAAGAAGAAAATGAGCTCATGTCTGCAGTCTTCTTTGAAAAATGTCCCATTTACCTTCACAGTTTTATGTACAATAAGTTGTTTTTGGAATTTTTTTAGCTATTGGCATTTTATCGATTGTTTTTAAGTTTATTACTGTAAATAAAAAGGGGAAAATACTAAAATTTAGGGAGTAAAATGCAACTGATGTGAACTTTGTGATAATCATTCTATTAATATTTTTAGCTTTATAGTGAAACATTTAGTGTCCTTTCAGTATTAATACAAGCAAATAAACTAAATTAAAATTTAGTTTGGATGAACTTTATGAGTGCTTTAAAGTGAATTAAAAAATACTTGACCAAAAAAGACGAATCTGTAGACAAGTGGAATATGTTTACTTATAAAAATTTTTTTAAATTCTTGTGGAGAAAATATGTATCATTCAGTAGTAGTCTTATTATATTCATAGATGGCTTACAATAGCTCCACAACTTATATTATAAAAATTTTTAGTTGAACGTATCTACAAAGTACCTAAAATCAACTGCCTGAAAGCATAAAATAGCTTACTGTGACCTCAACTTTACTAACTACATTTAATGGTTGGAGAAAGACATAGGGAATAAATTGGCCTCAATGAGGGCGTTACAGTGTCTAATTTAAATTATTGTATTTGTTGTACTTCTGTATTAATCTATCTATAGACTAAAAATTAGTAATACTAATCAAACCAAATTTTGTTTTCTTTTAGAATTTTGAGGCAGCTTTGGATGCTTCATTATCCCTTTATGACACTCAGATATTACATAATTTTTAAAAAGACCTACTTTTATAGGACTTTGACATTTTAAAATTAGAGACAATTATCCAAAAGAAACAAAACCCAGCAAAAGAGCACATATAATTTTTTTTTAATGTTTGAAGTAAATCTCTATTGTCTGTTAATATGTTTTACTATAGAACAAGCTGAAATCATAGTGTAAAATTGCTAAAAAACAAACAAAATATTTATGAACAAGGAAGAAAAACCATATATATAATCTATACGTAATCAAAAACAACAAATAGCAAACCATATGCTTTGGGTTATATATATATATGTATGTATGTGTGTATACACACACACACACACACACATACACATACACACACACATACATACAGGAATGCAACAAATGACAAATAAAAACAACAAGAGACAAAGAATTTCTTGCTGATAGTAATATATATATATATATCTATACATACATATATATATTTTATATATATATATATATATATATATCCCAAAGCATATGGGCTGGTTAAATGAGAAATGCAAGAAATGACAAAGAAAAACAACAACAAAGAGACAAAGAATTTCTTGCTGATAGTAATATCTGGACCACAACTTACCCCACTGTCCTAATTAACAAAAACTCTTATTACTGCACCTCCCTGGCCCTATTCATTTACTTATTTATCTATCCATTCATTCATTCATGGACCTGAGTCATTATTGTGTCTCAGATTTTATACCAGGTACCTTTAATCAAACCCATCCTTCCCATAGATTTGTTTTTCAGTCGCTTTGCACTGTCACTACCCTGAGCAAATTTTTTTTCACATACTTATAAACAAAAACAAAAAAAAACATTTGACTCTCTTGATAGGCCAATTCTTTGTTGATTTTTTATCACAGGATTTTTTGTCATTTCTAAGAACAAGTGTTCAAGCCTTTGGTTAATACACCCTGAAAATAGTCTTGGAAAAGTAATAAAAAATTAAATGATTTCAATGGCTTTTGTCAAACAGAATAAATGTCACATGGTTAGATATTAAACATTTCCAAATGTTTATGAAAAATAAAAAATATTTAATAAAAGTTTCATTAGAAACATAGGCAGGAAATTAATTTTTAAAACTACAGGCAACCTGAAAATACAAAATACATGAATCTGTAGCTTGGAGTAAATGTGTTAAGCTGCGGCTTCTGCTGCTTATGATTTCAGAGCTTATTTGTTCACAGTCTTAATGCCAGAGATTCCTTCCTTGGGGATTCATTTATTTAAGTCTCAAAAGCTTTTCTATATTCAAGATTTTTAAATATTATAAAATATTATGCAGGTAAAATATTATGCAGGTAAAAACTAGAAAGGGGTAAAGTAATATACTTTTCTCAATCAGCCCCTTGTGAAGAATTAAGTAATTTATGTTAATTTAAAATGTTTACTTGGGATTAGAGTATTATTACAGAAAGGCAAATACCATATAATCTCATTTATATGTGGAATCTGAAAAACAAAACAGAATGAAACCCAAGTTCATTGATACAGAGAATGGATTGGTGGTTGTCAGAGACAGGGAAGGGGAAGGAAGGTAAAATGGATGAAGTCAAGAGGTAACAACTTCCAGCTATAAATAAATAAGTCATAGGAACATAATGCACAGCATGGTGAATATTGTATGTACGTTTGAAATTTGCTAAGAGAGTATATCTGAGACGAACTCATCACAAGTAAAATAATTTTGCAACTGTGTGTGGTGATGGATGTTAGATTGTTGTGATAATTTCACAATATCTACAAATATGAAATCATTATGTTAAATACCTAAAACTAATATATAATAATGTATATCAATTATATCTCAATTTAAAAAAGAAAAAAAATGTGTGTATCAGCCTTTGAGTTTAAAAAATAAATTAAAATACTTAGTCTGTGTTGGAACATTTTGACAGAAATAGTGTTGAAAATACACTTATAATGTTTTTGATTTTATAAACAACTACAACAAGTGATCTCATTTACTCTTCACAAGAGCTATGTAGCTGACCCATGGGTGCCGATTAGATTTTAGAAATGTGAAAGGCAAATTTCAGAAAAGAGAAACAGGGCATAGAAGGCACTTAGGGAACAACTAAGGTAATAAAAGTCCATTAGACAATTATTTCCAAGACTGACACGGAAAGTAATCTGTAACTGCTTTAATCTTGCCCTCTTTTGAATGTCATCACAATGAATCATGTATGATAAGAAGCACCTCTGAAAAGTTAAAATTAACTGAAATTTTTATATGTGTCTCTAACAGAAGGGAATTAAACTGATTGACATTCCTCAACTGTGTTTTAAATGGTATTTCAAGTGATCTGAGTTAATAAAGGCTTATTATATTATGACTAATTTTTTTCTGCAAGGTTCCCACATGAGCCTTATCCTCAAAACAAAACCAAAACCAAAAATCGCTTAATGTTAACCCTAATTTACCAGTCTTTAAAAAAAGACCATCATGTTAGTGTATAATGTGGTAAGATTTTCAACAAGTTCATAGGAACATTTATCCTTAGGCCTTGATTTCAGTGAATGTCAAAAACGCCACATTGACAAGGAGCAATATTATTGCCTTACTAAATTTAAAATCCTTGTTCCTAATTAGATTTCATCATAAATTTTTGTTAAAATAATAAATGAATTTACTCTAAAAAAGAAACATTCAATACAGAATCACAGTGCAGAAAGGAAAAACAAAAGCACTATCTGGTTAATGAGCAATGACTTTATATTGCTTATAAATGTAATAAGAAATTAATTAAATGTTTTTTAAATTACTTGGTGATAAAAATAAACATCCCTTTGATAAAGGCAGTCTTGGATTTTTGTCTCCCTTTTTAACTTGCATTGAGAAAAGTAAAAAACTCATTCATTCAGCAAATGTATATTAAATGTAATGTAAACACCTTCATATGCCCAGGCAGAGGTATATAAAGTTGTGGCATATAACTTAAAACTGAACTGATTTTGTTTGTTTGTTTTTTGATAAATATAAAATCAATTGCATTTTCTTCTGCTTCCCACTAAAAAAGGTTCCTGGATGAGAAATCTCAAAGAATCATTAAGGCAGCAGAACCAAAAATGTAGTTTAGAAGGGTACTTATTTTAACACTTGTCTGGATGTACTTATTTAATATTTTATTTTCAATAACATAACAACACAAACTTGTTCTCTACAATATTTGCCTAAAAACACACACCATTGTCATTGAAATAAATAGGCAATCTATTCACTGAAAAATACCAATTATCCATAGATGGTCCTTTGTAAAACTGTAGGAGAATATTTATTTATGCAAGACCTTATTTTTCCAATGGCAACTTTTATTTTGTGATCTGCTATTGCAGAACTTGGAAGCCAGTCCTTTTTGGGAAAGGCACTGCTACTATGTCATGCTTTTGTCCTAATCATATATTAGGGTGTCCCCCAAAATGTATGCACTTTGAATAATTATTAATTCCAATGGGTTAAATCTGAAAAGAAAGAAACATCAATTGTACTATCAAAAAATGTATGTGTAGCCCTAGCTGGTTTGCTCAGTGGTCAGAGCATCAACTCACGGACTGAAGGGTACCGGGTTCGGTTCCTGCCCAGGGCATGTACCTCGGTTGCAGGCTTGCTCCTGGCCCAGGTCGGGGTTGGGTGCAAGAGGCAACCAATCGATGTGTCTCTCTCCCCCACCCACCTCTGAAAAGCAATGGAAAAAATATCCTCTGGTGAGAATTAAAAATAAAAATAAATGTTTGTGTATATATTTTTGGGGACACCCTATATATTTATATGTATAAATTTACATATAAATAACTGTATCCTGGAAGGTTTATACACCTTGGCTCTATTAGCCATGTGTCAGAGACAGGGCTGAAATTTCAAATTCTAACTTCCTATGTGAGTTCTCAAAATAATTTTTTCATTAAAAAGAAATAGGCTACACAGTGCTTTCCAATATACACTCAGAATTTGAAAGAGTTGCTTTTGTACTACGCCCATCAGAATCGTTGGGGTGAATTAGCATCCCATCCATAGACAAGCTTCTTTTAGAAAACAGTCCACATGTGCTTGGCGAGTTAAAATAACAATAGTATTCCTTCAACTCTCCATTCAGGGAGTACCTGTGCCTTGCTCTGGATCTCTCAGAAGGCAAAGTGAGAAACTTACTTGGCTTTGAATGTGCCCTTTTAGAGGTGGGCCCCTCTGTGACAGACTCGGGGCGGCTAGCTAACTGCAATGCAGTGGAGTTGTTCCGGTTAGTGTTTTGGGACTCAATATTCGTGACAGCCTCCTGCTGTGGCTCGGGGCTTGGCTTTGCGCCTGTCTTTCTTTTCTGCTTCTGGGACACAGACGTGCTTGAAGTCCAGGTAGGAGGCAAAGCAGAGGTAGTGGTGGAGGAGTCCTGACTTGAACAAACTTCGGAAGATTGCATCGCACTGTCACTGGCAGCTTTACAACACTGGGCACTCTCTTCGTGTCCCACAGCTTGTTTGGACGTGGACTGGGGCAGAGGAACACTGCAGCCTTGCGCTTGAGCCCCATTAGTTTGAGAGTAGACATTGCTGACCTTGGTGACCTTGTGTTGCCCGTTATTGTTACAAACCTTATACCGGATCATTAGAATGATGATGAAAACCAGCACGGATGCTACAATTATTCCACCAATAATAATAATCATAGTGCCTCCCAAAAACTGGGACTGCATGAAATGGCACCGCACGTAATCCTGTTCCGTAGTAAACTGGATGCAACCCACGACTCTTGTGGCAGTGAGGGAGGTGATGCCATCGTCATATATTGCCAAGACACACAAGTCATACATAGTTCCAGCAGCCAGGTTATTGACAAGAAAAGTTTTGCTCGTAGGAGGTATCATTCTGAGGGACAACGGAATTTGTGTTAATATGAAAAAGAAAACATTTATAGACACACAGAGTCATTATGACTTCAGTTCCGTTTCCTTTCAGTACTCATGAAGATAAACCCCAATAATAACAGATATGAAATATGGGAAAATTATCTAATCTCTATATTTACCCAGTAGAAACGGCTAAAAGTTATTGTTGGATTCTGCATTAAATCAAGGGTGCTTGCACCATGCCTTTGATGAGCTTACTAATTGCATTGCTTGGCAAAGCAGAAGTCCTAATAAAAGCCACTGCTAAAAAATCATTTATGACAAATTGCTTTTGAAAGGTGTGACTGTGACATTATTTGACTACTAAACAAATCCATTTAGTACTTACAACACCTCTGTGACTAAAAGCCAATTTGAAGGAAGGAAAAACACTGACAATCAATCACATTAGGAACCAGAATGGAAATGCATTTTGGAGTATTTATTTTTCAAATCAGTTATAAGCTGCTATGCAGTGGTTCCCAGTAAAACTAATCTTTAATAACTAAGATAATTACTAAGGTTAAAGTATTTTATTTACAGATCTCAACCTTCTCTTAAACCTTCAACACTTGGTTCTGTCTATGTTTTTATCTGAATATGAGTTCTGAAAATGGCTGAGTAATATCCTATAAATATGAACAGGGCAAGGCTTTTGACCAGAGAGGGCATATATCCCTGATCCTCCCCACTGTGAGATGATGGAATTACTTTCCAAACAGCTTCTAAAATTTGATGAGTTTATAGATATCTCTGAATCCATTACATCACAAAAGTCTTCTGTGGAAGCCCATTTTCCATTATTTTTTTCTTAGCAGGAACTTAAACTATGACCAAAACTAACATTTAATGTGGAAAAATGGCTTGAAACTCTTATTTTTTCCTGAAAGAGAGTTTTAGAAAAACTTGGCAATACTAATCTGTTATACAACCTAAGGAATGCCATCTAAATGTACCAGGAAACTCTTGGGGCAGAGTATGTATTTGTGATTGAAATCACTACCATTAAGTGAGTGATGATAAATGTGAGGCATTACTAAGCATTTTATATACATTATAATTTAATTTTTACAGTGACTGTACGAGGTAGTCATTATCACAATTTTATACATGACAAACATTAGGGTCCAAAATTCAAGCCATTTCCTCAAATAGAATTTACTTGTCATGTCAGGATTAAAGTCTTGAAATTTAGAAAATAGAAACTAACACATTTCCCAGAGTTAATGTTTAAAATATAGAGAATGTGTAGTAGCTACAGGAAGGTAAGGGGGTAGAGGTGGATGCATAACTCACAGTGGGTTAAACAACCCATGGCTCAGGTGAAGAGCTGAGTATAACAAAGACCAAAACTACTTTATGCTAACATACATGCATCATAGTCTGCATCCCATTCATTCAGTAATAAGAGAGATATTAGAAACCATTTACTCTAATCTCTTCCTTTTAAAGATGAGGAAATTAAAACTCAGCCAGGTAGAACCTTGCCCAGGATTGATCACATGGCTAGCTGGGCCGGTTTTGTTTTTTCCTACCAGCTCATGCTCACTTTAAAAAATTTATCTCATTTCCATACTTGAATGAAAACAAAATTATCTTCAATAATTCACATAGATATATTAAAAACTGAGTTGATCTGATTTCATAAAAGACAAATATACACATATATATTTAAAAGCCATGATTTTGCATCATTTCCTAGGATTAATAAGAGTCTATCATGAGTGAAATTATGTGGAGGGGTAAAAAGGTATATTTCCAACTGAAAATTGGACAAGATGTGACTATAAATCAATGAGGCTGAATTTTAGAAAAACATACCAGAAATTCCTTAGTCAGATGCAAATTCTCTCCATTAATGTCCTTACAGGAGATTAAATATTTAACACCAGTGATACTCTCACTGCTCAAAATATTTATAAAGTTTCTCTTTGGAACTGTCTTAAGAACCAGTGTATATGAGACAACACACATGCACATAAATCAATCACTCAAGATATCAGTCTCATTATTTTATAGTTACATCCTATTTTTGACCAAAAATGGCAATATCCATCTTGATCACCCACCTTATTCACAAGACTTGGCTCCAAATGGCTTTTGCTTGTTTCCAAAATTCAAATTCACCCTCAAAAGACGATGATTTGCCACCACTGAGGATATTCAAAATAGTATGACGAAGGTTCTAAAGATAATTCCAAAAGTGCTTTGAGCAATGGCAGCATCTTTGGGATAATGGTATAGCCTCCCAACATGACTTCCTTGAAGGAAAGAACACTCATATGGATGTGTAAGTTCTGGTATGTTTTTGAATTTTTAAAATAAATCAATCTTGCTCTCTGATAGTCACATCTCTTAGATGAGGGGGGGAAAGTAAACATAATATTAAATATAAATTTGAACTCTCTAAATATAACACCATTCAAAATAGTTCCCCACATGTGTTCATCTTTCACAAGCCTTAAATTATATACTTTAAGAAATGAAGTGCTATAATTACAATACAGAGCAGCACTGTCAATTAAAAAATATCAGAGTGCCTTAATGAGCCCTACACTAAGAAGCATGGTAAGTATACAAATTTGCTTAATTTTTCTTACCTGTAAACAAGGGTGTCATCATAAGTACCATTGTACTGTATTTGAAACATACGTATTCCAGGGATATTTCTTTGAAAATTAAATTTAAGTAATGCCGTAGATGATGTTGCTTCTGCCACCACAATTTTATCTTGACTCATTTTAGTATCACCATTACTACTGCTTGCATTGGAACCTGACTTAGTAGAAGTTGAGATATCTGAAGAACCAGGATCAGGCTCATGGATATGGTTTGTACTGTTTAGTAAGTGAGGGAGTTTAATTATATGAAGATCCACTGTTTGTGTTGCTTCCCCCGCAGGGTTGGAAGCAATGCAGGTAAAAGCACCTGTATCCTTTACAGTTGTTATCACAATGTCAAGTGTTCCATTGTCATATACCAGAGATCTTGTTGCGTTTGAAATCAGCTTCCCTTCAGGAGAAATCCAGTGAATTGCAGGTTCAGGGTCTCCCCTGGCTTTGCACCTCAGGGTTGCCCTTTGACCCTCCAGGACTCTCATCTCATGAGTATGACGAGTAATGAGAGGAGGCTCGCACAAAAACTCTTCCTCAGGAATTGACCAAAAATAGCGACCAGTTAAAAGTGCCGGAGAAGCACAGGTCTCCAGGTCATCTTCTCTAGACAGACGCCTCAACCACAACAACTCGCAATTGCAATGCAAAGGGTTTCCACCAAAACTTAATGCAAAAGTAGACGGGTTTATGATTCCTGAGGTCACTAGTACCTGAGCTCGCTGAAAGAGAGGGTCAGGCGGTAGCTTCTGCAATTTATTTGATGTTACATCTAGCCGAGTCATCTTGTGCAAGTGGGAAAAAGTCCCCTTAGGAATGTTATCAATCATATTGTGATCCAAGCTAAGGGTATGCAAGCTAACCATCTTCTCCACAGCATCCCACGGAATTGTTTCTAAATTATTATACGACAGATCCAGCTCCTCAAGGGCAAAGACATCATCAAATGCTGTCGATGAAATTAAAGTCAGCTGATTATTGTTCAGTATCAAATGATGGAGATTGGAAAGCCCACTGAACATATCATTTGTAATTTTAGTCAATCTGTTGCTATTCAAATGCAATGCTCTCAAATTTCGTAAGTCAGCAAAAGCATGAGGTGTAATAAAACTTATTGTATTCCTGGACAGAGTCAGGTCCACCAGGCTGGTCATATTGGCAAAATCTTTCCTTTTAATATTTGTAACAAAATTGTCTGCCAACCGCAGTTCCACAGTTCTTCTGTCAATGTTTGGCGGAACGAATAAAAGCCCTTTCTTGGCACAAAGGGTTGCAAGATTAGGAGACAAAATCTGACAGACACAACGCTTTGGACAGATCTGAGCTCTCGCTGCTATGCCAATGAAAAACAGATAAAAAAGGAATTTTTCCATTGTAGATCAGATTTAAGAGCCTGTAAGAAAGGACACAAAATATAGAGTTAGCATCCAATCATTTGACCAAGGTTCATATTCCTACTAGAATAATCTTTTTTATCCAAATTGAAATACAGAAATAATTTATTCAATTGTTTATTTAACAAATAAGTATAAAATATCTACTTTGGGTTGGGGGATATAATGGACACAAGGATAAAAACATACCATTCATGGCCTCATGGGATTTAAAATCAAATGATAAAAGAGGTCAATAGGTTATTATAATTGTGTAAATTAAGCACTATTTTTGAACTATAGCTGGGGTACTCCATGGGTGCACAAAAAAGAGAGATTTAGCCCAAATTGGAAGGTAGGCATTCTGGAAAACTTCTCATAAACCCCAAAAAAATCTTATAAATTCAAAAGCTTAAAGACACATTTAAGGTTTGCAAGTATTTCAATTTACTGGCCTGCATAGAAACAATAAGAGACAATATTTGTTATTGTTAACCTTGTGGCATTATATTTGAAAGTAATTAATTTTTGATTAAACTTTATTCATCTTTATGAATTATCTTGGACACAGTACAACCTTCACATCCTAACAGCAATACAGAACCTTACTCTCAAAAATAAAAATGCTGAAAATTTACCACAAATCCTCTAAGCTTCTTTAATATTCAAAAATTTTATTTGATATAAACGTGGATTTTTAAAGATAATTTATGGAAAGCAGTTACCAAAATACTTTGACAGCGAGTCCAAAAAGAGATCATATTCCATTTCCTTTTTCTTAAAATATTAATTCATTTACATTTATCCAAAAAATGCATTTTTTTATTAAAAAAACCTGACAGTTTCATTTTCCAGTTTAAACTTAAGAATTTGCTCTTAAAATTAAATCTCAAAAATAAAAATACTAACACATGTAAAATTAAAAGTTCTCATAACTTACATGTAGTTTTAAATGCCAAGAGGCAAAATAGCTGGAGAAACCATTCAAATTCTTAATTGAAAATAAAATAAAATATGGAGTTATTCTAGAAATAATGCACCTAGTTTCCTAAATAAAACTTATTCTTATAGGTTCAATTTACTGTATGCCTATTTATGCCATATTTAAAAGTGGTTGAAATAAATAAGAATTGTGATTTTCAACAAATGAAATAGAGTCGTACTCTCTGCTCACCACAGACTGACTAGTACTGAACTAGCCTTTCCAAAATAAGCAGCAAAAAGTACAAAAATGTATAAAACTATAGTTTTCAGACATCAGAAAAGAGGGAAGCACGGAACTGCGATCCTTAAGATAAATGGATTTTTAAAAAATGAACCCTATCGTTGCTCCTGGAGACACTTTCTAAACCACAGCACAGAAAAGAAAACAAGGGAAAGCGTCAACAGTCTTAATTAATTGAAGAGGCGTGGACTGGAGGGCAGAGAGTCTCAGGTGGCTGGAATGCATGAGGCAGAGTACCAGAAAGGCTAGTTTTTGGAACTCCAGTAATGTCTAGATAGAGATAGGAATAAATACTAACCACAATGAAACACTAATGAAAAAGAAAGATAGAAATAAATTTGAACAAAGACTCAGTGACCAGTGGAAAAAAATATGAAGTCAAACATACATATACTTGCAGTATCAGAAGGCTCTAAGGTCAAAATGTATTTGAAGAAATAATGGCAAAATATTTCAAATTTGTGATTAAGAAACCCAGCAACCCATAAATCTAAGCTCAAAATAAGAAAAAACACATCAGCACACATCATAATTGTACTGCAGATAACCAAAGAAAAATAAAAAAAATTATTCTTAAAAGCAGTCACATAAATAAGACACATCACAAGAAGATAATGCGAACAAAATAAAAATAATAGCTCACTGACTTCCCTTTGGAAGTAAAGCAAGATGGAAGACAATGAAAAATATCTCCAAAGTGCTTCAATGAAAAGGAAAGCCTGTCAACTTGGATGTGGATTGAAACATTCATAAAAGAGAAAAGTAAAATAATGATATTTTGAGAGAAACAAATTGAAAGATTCATCACCAATAGAGCTGCAGTATAAGAAACTATAAAAGAATTCTCTTCAGTCTGAAATAAAATTATATCAGATGGAATCTTGAATCTTTATAAATGGATGAAAAACAACAGTAATGGTATTCCTATGGGCAAGTATAACATATTTTTTGTTGTTTTAATGTTTATAAATAGTAGTACTTCTGGCATGGATATAAAAAGCTNGCAACAGTAATGGTATTCCTATGGGCAAGTATAACATATTTTTTGTTGTGTTTTAATGTTTATAAATAGTAGTACTTCTGGCATGGATATAAAAAGCTACAAAAACCATAATTCTCACACTAACCATCAAATAAGCTGGATAAGCTACAAATCATATATATATTTAAAAATAACATCATACTGCTGAGGATGCAAATAAACTTAAAATAACTATATTAAAGAAAGCGACAGACCTTTATGAAAAAGGAAGAGATCCATGGATGTTCTATTTTCCCCACCAACAGAAAGGTAAATAGGAGGACCTACCTGGCATAAATTGGGGAAAGGAGAAATCAGCCTCACTTTAAAAACATGTTTTAACATTTTATTTTTCAGAGTACTTTTAGGTTTCCAGCACTGTCATATATACATATATATAATTGATTTCAGAGAGAGGAAGGGAGAGGAAGAGAGAATCATCAGTGATGATAAAGTCATTAATTGGCTGCCTCCTGCATGCCCCCTGCTGGGTATTGAGCCTGCAACCCCTACCAGAAATCGAACCAAGATCTCCTGGATCGTAGGTCGATGCTCAACTGCAACTGCTGAGCGATGATGGCGAGGCTACACCGCTGTCTTGATTACTCTCTAGCAAGTCTTAAGTTGAGGAGTATCTGTCCACCAACTTTGTTCTTCTCCGTCAATATTATGTTAATGTNCCAACTTTGTTCTTCTCCTTCAATATTATGTTAATGTTGAATATTCTGGATCATTTATTTGCCTTTCCATATGAACTTTAGAATCAATTTGTCAACATCCATAAAACAAATTTTGAATTTTAAGAATTTTTTGTATGATAAGTCCTCTATCATATGTGTCTGTGTAAATACAGTAGTTTCTTGCAGTCTCTGGCTTAGGATTTCCATCTCCTGGAACAGCTGTAAATAGACCTTTCGTAATACGGTGGTGAGGTTTAGAGTGAGGGCTAGTGTTGTTACTCCTATGGTTAGGTCTCAGTGCTTTAGTGAGCCAAGGCCTCTGGACTGTGAACTGCACAAGTGTTTCTGTGTTCCCCTCCCCTTCTCCTTAGGTGAGACAGGATGGTGATAGTGGGCTGGAGTTAGTTATTTCCCTTTTCCCTTGTGTAAGGCTAGAGCTGGCTGGAATTGAGTTTTTAACTTCCCCAGGTCAGGTATGCTCAGATAATACCGCAGCCACTTAAGCTCTACTTAATCTGTTTCCCTGAAGAAAGGCCTTGTTAAGAAGTACAGTGTTCTAACATATTTCACAAGGGTTCCTTCCTCCTCCCTGCTGGAAGCAGGAGTAGACTNCTCCTTCCTCCTCCCTGCTGGGAGCAGGAGTAGACTTTTCTCCGATATTTGCTGTGGGAATTTGGCTGAGCTCCTGGAGTTAAATTGCAAAATATTGTGGGTCCCTCCCATACTACAGGGTTCCCCTGAAGTTTTTAACTCTCGGACATGTAAGCAAGGAGTCTCCAGCAATTTGTCATAACAGTTCAGCTTTTCCTATTCTGCCACTCGTTCCTGCAGTGTTTGCAGCTATGTCTTTGCTCCAGTTGGCTGGGGCTCCCTGCATTCGCCCTTCTGCATTTCCAATGTTGGGGCAATGGCTAGCCTGTGTATTCCCTCTCTTATGGACCCAAGAGGAGTTTGTTTGTTTAAAAATTTTTTCAATCTGCTCAGTGTTTTTACTGTTGCTATAAGTGACTGACAACATCCAAGCTCCTTAGCATGTGGAATAAGAAACCAGAATTGTAACCAATATTTAAGAACCATATGTTGGCTGGTGTAAGGAAATAAAATCCCAAAGAGCCTCAAACCAAGGCAAGAAAGCGTCCCCCTATTTCATTCTTATTTGTCTTCATTGAATCATGGGGATCTTACCTGGAAAATAGGGAGATAGAAAGAGAGAAGAGACAGCTGTTCTATGTTTGTGGATAAAAAAGAATCGAGGATAAAAAGGAAAATAAAATTGAATCCTCCAGGAAACTCAGACTTTCAGTTTTGGAAGAATGGGTAAGATGCAGAGGCCTGAAAGAAAAATTTCAATCAGGTCTTTCTGCTGTAAAAGACTGAGAGAAGGGTTTGAGAGCTCAGTTCCTTTCCTCCCATACAGATATTTCTGACTTTCAACCACAGGATATCTGGGGTGGCACTGGAGAGGTGAGAAAACTTTCTTAGAAAAAATTACTACTTTCATAGAACTTTCATAGAACTTTCATAGAACTGGGGCTCAGTTCTAGCCCCAAACAAAGAAATCTAGGGATGAGCTTAGAGATCAAACAGATGTCCTTGGCCACCAAAACAGCTGGCAGTAGCCAGGATGAGGTTTCCAAAGTTTAGACATCACATGGTTTATCTGTAAAACAAAGANGTGAGGTTTCCAAAGTTTAGACGTCACATGGTTCATCTGTAAAACAAAGATTTCCAAAACCACTGCCCTGCTAAGATCCCATGTCTGAATAAATAGGAAATTCCCAACCATGCTCTCCAAACATTTGAAGCTGTAGTGAACTGATACACAATAATACTGTAAAAAATTACAGACTGAGCTTAACTGCAACACCTATAGACTCAGCCCCTACTCTACTAGACTGAAAGAAGAAACATGCCATCTTTTAAAAAAGTAAATATCATTTACTTCATTCTCTAATGTGATTTAAGTATAAAACATGCTGCATAAAGTAAGAAATCACACAGAAAACATGAGAAAGCAAGAAAAAGTGGCTAACACTGCAAACAGGAAACAGTCAATAGAAGCAGACCCACACATATCCCAGGTGTTAGAATTCT